CGCCAAGCGAGAGCGGTTTGCGATTCGCCTTGTTCGTCGCCAGCCTACAACGCGTGGTCTACGATGTTTGGGCTGACGCGTTTCCGCTACCACATATTACATACATTAAGTAAGGATGCATATCTGCACAAACGTGTGCACAAACGTGTGCACACACGTGTGTGCACACACGTGTGCAGATACGGACAAATGTTTTATTCAGACACGAAACGGATAGTTCAAGAAGGATATTGAAGTTATTGGCTGGCCAAGAATGGTGGCCAAAGGCGTCCTTATTACCCGCCTTGGGGTCCCCTCCCACCGTTCTGCCCGATGGCATCCAGGACAGCAGTACTCGTCGCCCAGTAGTGTTGTCCGGAAGCGACTCATGTTGGGGGGTCCGGAATGGAAGCCGGGTGTACGTCTACCGGAATTCGGAGTGGACCGAGACTCAGCAGCTGTTATCTTCGCTGCCCGACTGTCTCAAAGAAGACCGAAGCAGCATCTCGCCCACAACGGCGGCCTCGCCTTCAATCAATCTCGGCACCGACGAAAAAAGGCCGCAGCCGTCCCCAGAGTCGTTCAACCTCGGACATGACGAAACCGAGGAACCAGCCCAGGAAGAAAGTCGCTTCTCCGGCATTTTGACTGCCATCCCCTCACTGTCCCGGTGCTCTTCGACAGACGAATTAGCGGACAATAAACTAGAGATCAACGAAGTACTCTTGGACAACCTATCGGTACTTGATAACCAACTGGTATTGGACAAGCAATCGGTATTGGACAAGCAATCGGTATTGGACAAGCAATCGGTATTGGACAAGCAACCGGTATTGGACAAGCAATCGGCAGTAACTAAGCCGTTACAGCCTATAACGTCGACCAAAGCACGTGTCGACTCAGAGTCCTGCCAACTGCTGACAACGGGTTCAATGAACACAGGAGGTTCTGTTGTCGGGGCCTCTGTTGTAGGGGGCTCTGTAGGGGGGCAATCGCACATCAGTTCCGCGATGGTTCATCCGAGCGTACAATCGCCATGTGTCAGACAGCACTCGGTCCTGGTGACTCACAGCTCGTCAATGACCAGCACAGCTTATCACACCGTAGTGGGAGAGTGGGTCGAAGACTCCCCTCGTTCAACGGAGGGGTCGCTGCTCAGTGCGCCGCTGGTTCGAGTTACCCGAGGAAGAATGTGTTCCGGAGGAGGTGTATCGACAGGAGGTGTATCGACAGGAGGTGTATCGACAGGAGGTGTATCGACAGGAGGTGTATCGACAGGAGGTGTATCGACAGGAGGCATTTCAGCCGAAGAGAATACGACGAGAGCCGGGTGGTCTACACCCACGGGAGTTCGGAAACTGTCTTTCACCAGCGCCTCTTCGCTTTCCGAAAGTTTGGAAGAACCATCGGCACAACGCGTCCGAAAACGGAGCAAGGTCGCCGCGTCCACACCACGCGCGATCGACGAAGAACTCGCCAACCTGTCCGTTTGTGACCCCGAACCAGCACGTGTGTGCTGCGGAATTTTTGGTCGAAGAAGGAACCCCTGACCAATACAAAAATAAAAACCGAATGAGGACGGGTTAGGTCAAGGACAGGTAGGCAAGTCGGTCGGGACTGGAACCGGACGGGGGTTTTTTTGGGTGGGTGCAGCATTAAAAAGTTTTCCTAGGTCGTCTTACACCGTAGCTGAGGTTTATGTCGCTGAGTAGCGAGTCCGTCACTCAGTAACTGATTCTCGACTTGTGGCTGGTGCCGTTTATCTCGTTCGTTCGTTTGCTCGTTCGTTTGTTCGCTCGTTTGCTCGCTCGTTTGTTCGCTCGTTTGCTCGCTCGTTTGGTTCGTTCGTTTGGTTCGTGCATTCACTCGGTGGGATTCCTTAGGGTTCGACTTGTCAGTTCGCTAGGCTATCTGGGTTCGGTTACTCGGCTTCGCGTAGGTAGTCTTTGACCTCAGAGGGTCTCAGTTTTTTGAATTTCATAGATTCGTTATCGATGACGCCGACCTCAATGTTAGTTTCAGTTACGATGCCTTCACAGAGTTCCTTGAGGGTGAGTAGGGCAGTGTGAATAGCATCTTCGACGCTCATATCGACTCGGTATCTTTTTTCGAGGAATGTTTTCGCGTTCTGTGAGTCCTTTCCAACGGCGGTAGCCTTCCAGCCGAACGCAGTGCCTGAAGGGTCGACCTGGTAGAGGCGACAGGCTCCGTGTGCTAGGTCTTGTTCGTTGTCGTCCTGGTCATTGTCGAGGTGGGGAGGTTGAGGTGTTCCGGCGGGTGCCGCGAGGTCGGCAGTTTGATGTTGATTACAACCTGCAACGAAAAGAGAGCAGCCGAAAGGACGTACGCCACCAGATTGGGTGAATTCTTGCATGACGTCTGCTAGTGCACTAACCAGCCTAGCCACAGGTATAGGTTCGCCAAACTCACGTTTGTAAAATGCCGCTTCTTTACGAGCTCGAGCAAGTAACACCCGAAAATCCGCAGGCATTCCGGCGTACACACATCCAATATGCTCATCTATCAACTCCACCTTACTCAAACTTGCCTCATCAATAATACTACTACCCACCTTCTTCTCAGCCGCTATCACAACACCTTGCCGAGTCTGAATTCCCAATGCCGGTCGACCCTGCTTATTTACCGCATTCAAAGCATACTCAATCTGAACCAACTTCCCCGTAGGCGAAAAGGTCGTTAAACTGAACCCGTAATCAGAACTCATTTTCAAAATAAAAATCAATGACACAATGACCACCTATTTCGACGACCGGTAAACCAACCACTGGTGATGGTGGAACATATGCTCTCGGTCTTACACAGCATATGCTCTCGGTCTTACACAGCATATGGTTGTACTTGGCGTTGGTTGTCAGTGGGGGTTGTACTTGGCGTTGGTTGTCAGTGGGGGTTGTACTTGGCGTTGGTTGTCAGTGGGGGTTGGTTGTCAGTGGGGGTTGTACTTGTCAGTGGGGTAGTAATGATATTTTAGGAAGATCGCCGCTGGCGGGGATGGGTACGAGAATACATTGTCCACGTCGGCTGCTGAAGAAAGTGCGCAGTTGGTGACCACGCTTACGAGTGACTTCGAGGAGTTAACATGCGACCTTCGGCGCTTGCTTACAGTTTGGTCATCGCGATGCAATGCAACATTGGTTATGAAGCAACAAGAGTTAGCCTCCACGGAACGAGGACTAGCTGATGAGAGGGCGCGCCTATATCTGGAATTTGATGACTACAAAGCCCGTGAGATGCGGAAGTTGCACGAAGCCCAACAAAGGCTGGACAACACCCTCGCTGACGTCACCAAACAGATAGAAAGCGAGAAGGAGGCTGCGAGGCAACGAATTGAAGGTGAGAGAGAAAAATTTGAATTGGAACGCCAAAGATTTATGAGGTCGATCAGACAGGTACGACAGCCTATTATACGGTCCCGTACTCTCCGACAGGTGTTCACCGACAGGTGTTCACCGACAGGTGTTCACCGACAGGTGTTCACCGACAGGTGTTCACCGACAGGTGTTCACCGACAGGTGTTCACCGACAGGTGTTCACCGACAGGACATTTGTGTTTTTAGGTAGAGGGCGATCTGGCAGAGGCGATGAAGAGAATTGAGGAGGAGAATCGTCGGGTAAGGAATATTAAGTTGAGCCAAAGTCGCATGGTGGAATTTAACGTAGGAGGACAGTTGTTTCAAACGAGCCGGAGCACGGTCGAGAGTCAAAGAGGATCACTCCTATGTGATCTTATTAGTGGAAGACATGAAGGCATCAGCATGCCTATCTTTATTGACCGTGATCCTGCGTTATTCAGCTTAATATTAAATTTCCTTCGAAACCCGTATTGGTTACCGATTGCTAGAGATATTACGGAATCGGAAAGACTGGCACTGGAGGCACAGTATTTTAGATTGGAATTTTTGCCCTTCCCGCTGGCAGTTGTATTAGGAGGTCACGATGGCGTCACCTTCTT